AAATATAGCTTTCAGATGACACAAAAATTGGGAGAGCGGTGAAGAATGAAGAGGACAGGTTACTGATTCAGAGCAATCTTGCACACTTGGTAAATTGAGCACAAGCATACAATATGTGTTTTGATACAGCTAAATGTTAATGTCTAAAAACAAAGATTTAGGCCATACTTACAGGACAAGGACTCTATGCTGGGAAGCAATGACTCTGAAAAAGATTTAGGGGTGGTGGTGGATAATCAGCTGAACAGGAATTCCCAATGTGATGATGTTTATGCACCAAAGAGTTAATGCAATGCATGTGTGCATAAACAGGGGAATCTTGAATAGGAGTGGAGAGGTTATTTTACCTCTGTATTTGGCTCTGATGAAACCACTGCTGAAATGCTGTGTCCGGTTCTGGTGCCCACAATTCAAGAAGGATGTTAATAAACCAGAGAATACAAAGAAGAGCCACAAGAATGATAAAAGGATTAGAAAACATGCCTTTAGTGAATGAGCTCTTTGAGTCTATCCATTTAGCTTAACAAACGGAAAGTTAAGGGGTGACTTGATTAGTCTATAAGTATTTACATGGGGAACAAATATTTAGTAATGGGCTTGTCAGTCTAGCAGAGAAAGGTCTAACATGATCCAATGGCTGAAAGTTGAAGCTAGACAAATTCAGACTGGAAATAAGGCATAAATTCTTAACAGTGAGAGTAATTAACCATTGGAACAATTTACCAAGTGTTGTGATAGAGTCTCCATCACTGACAATTTTTAAATCAAGATTGGATGTTTTTCTAAAAGATCTGCTTTAGGAAGTATTTTGGGGAAATTCTATGGCCTGTGTTATACAGGAGATGAGACTAGATGATCACAGTATTGTTTTCTGGCCTGAGAAACTGTGAATATTCCCCCACTCCCTACATTGCCTGTCTCTGAACGCAAACAGAGAAAAACCCTACCATGTCTTCCTCATTCATCCAGATGAGACAAAGAAAAAAAACTTTATAGTATGTAATCCGTGTGCCCAGAAACCAGTGTAGATGTAAGCAGAGTCAGGATGAGCTCTACCCTGACATCTGGTGGCGAGTCATGGTGGGTTGTGGAAAAGAACTTAGGGGCTGATCTCATTTGCATAGGCACACTCACCCTGCCTAGATGGTCACTTTGGCTGCTGTAGGAGCCCCAGTTTCTCTGTTATTGGGGCAGGAATAAACTGTTGTTATCCTGATTATGTGAATCAAGGACAGTGGAACTGTACTTGACCTTTTGTTATGATGGAGGGACTCACCATCAACAAGCAGCACTCGCTAGGCAAGGGTCATGGCTTCCAAAACCCAGTGAATGGAGAGAAGCTGGTCCAGTGCCCCCATTGTATGATTCTCACACTCTGGGGTTAGTATAGGGGCCTATATACCATGTAGCCATCTTGTAGCCCAGCATGGAGGATTCATATAATATGTACCACAAATGGGGAAAGGTGTGTATGGTGCATGGCACTTGCATCTTGGGATGATGGAACATATAGGGTATGGCACTGAGGAAATGAGGTCTAATGTAGTATGTTGTGTGAGCATGCTGCCAGGGTGAAGGGGATGGGTATGAGCCACTACAAAGGTGCTATCCGCAGGTAATGAGCGTAGAAGGCCCTACAGAGTGGGGTTGCTGGGGTGGGGGAACTCTACAGCATTTAGTACTTGGCTGGGGATTACAGAGTGAGCCTGCAGGATGTGAGATTCAGGGGAGGAACACCAGTTTAATTTTTTCTTTTGAAAATTTTTTCAACAGAACAAGTTTTTTGATTGAATAGAAATTTGTTTTCATTTATTTTTTTTATTTCTCAAATAAAACTTTCAAATAAAAATTTTGATTTTTTTTAACATTACATTTAAAAAAAAATGTGGATAGGTGTAATAGAGCTAAAGTCTCATTACCAGGCCAGGTGGTCTCATGGCCCATATACCTCTCAGCAGGAAGGCCTTTCTGACCAGTTCCTCACCTGAGGATGCATTTAGCTTCACCTTGAGTTGCAATGTCCTTGCCCTCTTCTTATCAGAGGAGCTTATGCCTTGCTTGCTGAAGGGGCAGTTGGTAGGGGAACCCGGGCCCTCCCATTCCACTAGGCTCCAACCTAGGGTTCTATGGGAGTCAACAGGGTCAGGCATCCTGGAGTACCCTTGGAGTTATCCACCCTGGGTCACTTCCTACTATCTATCTCTCCTCCATGACTTCAAGTGTAACATATGGTAACAAAAGAAAAAGAAGAGGCAACTAAACCTTTAGCCCCAACTGGGCTCAGCATGCAGTCCTACTCCCCACAGGGAGGCTTCTTCAACACCCTTGCCCAGGAGCTCTCAAGATAAGTCTGTCTTCTACCCAGCCTCCCCAAGACTGAGCAGGGTTACTCCCTTTTAAGCTTCCTGTCCAATTGTAGAATGCTCTGCAGGTCTGGAGGGGGATGGCTACCTGGAACCAGTACTGTCCTTTAACCCTTTTGGGCCCCATGTTGGGTATGTACATCCCATCAAAATGGGAAATCATTCTTTCACTTTAACAAAAAGTATGCCTCCTTTTTTCCACTAGAAGGGAGTAAAAGAGGGAGGGTACACACAGTGAAAACCATTTTTTAAAAAATTTGTTTAGAAAATTTCTTGTAAATCCAAAACAATTACTGTACCTAAAATTTCAAACAAAATGAAGAAATTGTCCGCAAAATCAACTTACCTTTTTCGAAAAGCTCTAGACAGGAGGATATATAACTTGTTGTATCAGCAGTACGGCCAGCTCCAAACATTCAAAACTCATGAGTCACACAAATCTCATGACTTTTTGGGGCCTAAAAATGATGAGATTAAAAAAAATGTTGGATTATTTTTATTTGCCTTCTAGTTCCTGAGCCTCCAGAGTCACTCGGTTCATATTTTCAAGCTTTTATCTGCAACCACCAGAGTTAGAAACTTACTCTTTTTCTTTGAACTGAAAAAGAGTCTCTCATAATCTCATTACTCCAGGAGCTGGAGCTTTAGGACACCACCACATATCACAAGACTGTGAATATAATCCTCTACGTGCACACACGTGCACACCCATAGGCGATGCAGAGTCTAGCACCCAGCTGTGGGATGGAGATTCCTATTGGCTGTGATACTTGCACTGCGGGAGCCATACACTTACGGGAAGTGAGAGGTTTGGTTTAGGGTGTAACACTTGGTTGAGAAACTGATTATGGATGGGCTTGGCAGAATTCAATTTATTTATTTTTAGAATTGAGACAGACAATCATAATACTTATTTAAAAGCATTTTTTTATTTTTATCAATTGAAATTTTCAAAATTGCAGGAGATAATGAGTGTGTGTGTGTGCGTCAGAACATGATTAATGACAGTACCTGCTGAGATTCTGAAAGTTAAAGCTTCATAACAATAAAAAACACAAATTGTCAACATTACATGTCAAAACATACAAATTTCCGTATCCGTAAATCAAACTTCAGCTCTCAAACAATATTTTTCTTGCTTTGCCTTGTCTATAAATTTTTATCAATGGAAATATTTTTTCAGCAGTTTGTGTGTGTGTGTATGAAGAAATCAACGTTTACTTACATTTACTGATTAAAATCTATGCCTTCCAAGCCTACCTATAGAGGACAGCACTGTTGTGGGGGGCCCTAAATTGTGTGACACCAGGTTGAGGGACTCTACAAGCCATGGTTCTCAAACTTTTGTACTGATGACCCCTTTCACACAGCAAGCCTCCGTGTGTGACCCCCCCATATAAATTAAAAACACTTTTTTACATATTGGACACCATTATAAATGCTGGAAGCAAAGCGGGGCTTGGGGTGGAGGCTGACAGCTTATGACCTCCTATGTAATAACCTTGTGACCCCCTGAGGGGTCCCAACCCCCAGTTTGAGAACCTCTGCTCTACAGGGTGTGATCTGTGTTTTTGGGGGTGGGGGCTCGCTAAGGGATGCTACCCAAGTGTGGAGGAGGACTCCACGGGAGGGCTCAAAAGGGATGTTATTGAGGTGGGGGAGGGGAACTCTATAGGTGTGGCGCGGGGCGCTCTATGAGGGATGTTATTGAGGTGTGGGAGGGGAACACTATAGGGTGTGGCGCAGGGGGCTCTATGAGGGACGTTATCCAGGTGGGGGAGGGGAATGCAGTAGGGTGGGGGAGGGGCGCTCTATGAGGGACCTTATCCAGGTGGGGGGAGGGGGCGCTCTATGAGGGATGTTATCCAGGTGGGGGAGGGGCACTCTATGAGGGATGTTATCGAGGTGGGGGAGGGGAATGCTGTAGGGTGGGGCGCTCTATGAGGGATGTTATCCAGGTGGGGGAGGGGAACGCTGTAAGGTGGGGGAGGGTCGCTCTATGAGGGACGTTATCCAGGTGGGGGAGGGGCGCTCTATGAGGGACGTTATCCAGGTGGGGGAGGGGCGCTCTATGAGGGACGTTATCCAGGTGGGGGAGGGGAACGCTGTAGGGTGGGGGAGGGGCGCTCTATGAGGGACGTTATCCAGGTGGGGGAGGGGAACGCTGTAGGGTGGGGGAGGGGCGCTCTATGAGGGACGTTATCCAGGTGGGGGAGGGGCGCTCTATGAGGGACGTTATCCAGGTCGGCGCTTCTATGGGGCGTGGCTCGGCCCAGGCCAGGAGCTCTACGGGGGCGGTACCGGGGACTCCTCGGGCCCTGCCGGCAGTACCCAAGGCGGCCCCACCAGGCAGCGCCATCGGCGGAGGCGCCCGACGAGGCCGGGTGTGGCCCTGGACGGCCTCGAGGCTCTCGAGGGCGGGGCCGCAGGGGACCGGGAGGGTCCTGGCCGCGGTGATTGGCTGGTGAGGAACGAGGCGAGTCTCTCGAGGAGTGGTGCCGCAGGGATTGGTCGAGCAAGGAGCTCGGGGTTCCTAATTGGACTCGATTAGGGGCGGTAACCTGCGATGCTGCTGGCATCGATCATTGGCTACTTTGGGAGGAGGCTGGCGCGAGCCGGCTGGCGCTTCGGGGATTGGGCGAGCGGCTGCGAAGGGGCGGGGTTCCGATCCCGGAAACCGCGCGGTGAAGTCTGGGTAAGCGGTGCCGGTCGCACCTGCGCACTGTGGCTCTGCGTGTGGGAAGATGGTGCTCATCAAGGAATTGTGAGTCGGGGGCCGGGGATCGACCGCGCCGCACATCGCTCGTCTCCGAGGGGAGGGGCCCCCGCGCCCTGCCCCCCCGCGCCTCTTTGCCTCTGGGCTCCGGCCGGGCTCCTCCCTCCGTCCCGGGCTCCTCTCCGCCGCCCGCCCCCCCGCAGTGCCGTGCTCCTCTCCTCCCCCCACCCCCACTCTCCCCAGTCCCGGGCTCTTCTCGGCCGCCGCCTGCCCCCCCGACCCCGTCCCGGGCTCCTCTTCCCCCCGCCCCCCCGCAGTGCCGTGCTCCTCTTCTCCCCCGACCCCCACTCTCCCCAGTCCCGGGCTCTTCTCGGCCGCCGCCTGCCCCCTCGACCCCGTCCCGGGCTCCTCTTCTTCTCCCCCTCCCACCCCATTCTGGGCTTCTCGCCACCGCCCGCCTCCTCTCCCCCCCCCCCCCGACCCCGTCCCGGGCTCCTCTTCTCCGCCGCCCGCCTCTTCTTCTCCCCCCCCTCCCCGCCTCCTCTTCCCCCCCCAGTCCTGTCCCGGGCTCCTCTTCTCCTCCTCTCCCCCCCCCCCCCGCAGTCCTGGGCTCCTCCTCTCCCCCCCAGTCCCGGGCTCCTCCCCGTTGCCCGCCTCCTCTTCCCCCCCAGTCCCGGCCTCCTCTTCCCCCCCAGCCCCGTCCCGGGCTCCTCTTCCCCCCCAGTCCCGTCCCGGGCTCCTCTTCTCCTCCTCCCCCCCCCCCGCAGTCCTGGGCTCCTCCTCTCCCCCCCAGTCCCGGGCTCCTCCCCGTTGCCCGCCTCCTCTTCCCCCCAGTCCCGGGCTCCTCTTCCCCCCCGGCCCCGTCCCGGGCTCCTCTTCTCCTCCCCCACACTCCCGCAGTCCCGGGCTCCTCGCCGCCGCCCGCCTTCTCTCCCCCCCTCCGCCCCCAGTTCCGGGCTCCTCCCGCCCGGGCTCGCCGCCGCGCCCCCCCCCATACCCCGTCGCGGGCTTCTCTTCTTCTCCCTCGCAGTCATAGAATCATAGAATCATAGAATATAAGGGTTGGAAGGGACCCCAGAAGGTCATCTAGTCCAACCCCCTGCTCAAAGCAGGACCAATTCCCAGTTAAATCATCCCAGCCAGGGCTTTGTCAAGCCTGACCTTAAAAACCTCTAAGGAAGGAGATTCTACCACCTCCCTAGGTAACGCATTCCAGTGTTTCACTACCCTCTTAGTGAAAAAGTTTTTCCTAATATCCAATCTAAACCTCCCCCACTGTAACTTGAGACCATTACTCCTCGTTCTGTCATCTCCTACCATTGAGAACAGTCTAGAGCCATCCTCTTTGGAACCCCCTTTCAGGTAGTTGAAAACAGCTATCAAATCCCCCCTCATTCTTCTCTTCTGCAGGCTAAACAATCCCAGCTCCCTCAGCCTCTCCTCATAACTCATATGTTCCAGACCCCTAATCATTCGCGGGCTCCTCGCCGCCGCCGCCCGCCCCTGTTCCGGCCTTGGCCCCGTCCCGGGCTCCTCACTCCCCCAGCCCGGCCCCGCTCCGAACGGGCCCCCGTGGGGCCTGGCTATCGCCCTGTGGGGTCCTGCAGCACCTGCCTCGGGGGCTTCTCCCTCACCTCTGCAGACAGGTGTTGAATCCTCCTCCCTCTTCCCCTCTCTGTACCATGTTTCCATCTTGCCCTGCATCTCCACTGGCTATTGTGCCTGGCTCTTGCCTGCTTCATGCCCTTGAGGGACACTGCCCCGGTCACCGATTAGCTGCCTGCCTCCCCTCTGCCACCGGGGCTAACCCAGTCTGTAACAGCTTCGACTAACTGACCTGCCCACAAATGGTCAAATCGTGTCTAATATGGGACTGAGTGCCTTGTTTGTTCTTAATTAGTAATAAATAATACTCCGCAAGCCATGGGTTTCCCCCGCCCAAGGCAGATGAGATGTGCCTTAACTGTGATCTGGGTGTCCCCTGAACCCTCTTGGGGGAAGGGAAAAGTAAAGAGGAGATTCTGAGCCTGGACTGTCTTGGAGGGATGAGTACTGAGCCTGATTCCAGAGAGGGCAAAAGTGTATGAGTTTCAGTAAGTCCTGGAGCACTGGGGAAGATCCATACAACTGGAAGAAAGCTAATGTTGTGGCAATTTTTAAAAAGGGTGAATGGAATGACCTGAGTAATTACAGGCCTGTGAGCCTGCCATTAATTGTAGGCAAGGTATTGGAGCAGCTGATGCTGCACTCCATTAATAAAGAATTAAAGGAGGGTAATGTCATTACTGCAAATCAGCATGGGTTTATGGAAAATAGATCTTGTCAAACTAACTCAAGATCTGTCTTCATGAGATTGCAGGTTGTTAATGACTATAATAGTGTTGACATACTTAGATTTCTGTGAGGCATTTGACTTGGTACTACATGACTTTTTGATTAAAAGGATGAATGGGATACAATGATCATGGTATACATTAAGTGTATTAAAAACTGGCTAACTGTTAGGTCTTAAATCTGTAAACAGAAATTGTAAACAGGAATAATCATCAAGCAGGTGTATTTCCATTGAGGTCCTGCAGGGATTAGTTGTATGCTAGAAGTGTTTGCAATTGACACACAAATTTGGAGAGTGATAAATAATAAAAAGAGACAGGTCACTGATTCAGAGAGATCTGGGATTGCTTGGTAAATGGGGCACAAACTATGTTTTAATATGGCTAAATAGAAATGTATAAATCTAAGAACAAAAATGTAGGCCATAGTTATAGGATGGGGACTGTGTCCTGGGAAATAGTGACTCAGAAAAAATTGAGTGGTGTGGTAGATAATCACCTGAATGTCAGCTCCCAATGTGATTCTGTGGCAAAAAGAGCTACCTAATGCAGTCCTAGGGTGCATAAACAAGGGAATCCTCTAGTAGGCATAGAGAGGTTATTTTACTGCTGTATTTAGCACTGCTCTAGTGCAGCTGGAATACTGTAGTGCGGTTTTGGTGCCCACAATTCAAGAAGGGAATTGATAAATTGGAACAGGTTCAGAGAAGAGCCAGGAGTGTGAGTAAAGGATTAGAAAACCTGCCTTATAGTGATAGACTCACAGAGCTCAATCTATTTAGCTTAACAAACAGAGGTTAGGGTGTGACTTGATTACAATCTAGGAGTGTCTACATGAGGAACAAATATTTAATAACGGACTCTTCGGTCTAGCAGAGAAAGCTCTAACATGGTCCAGTGGCTGGAAGTTGATGCTAGACAAATTCAAACTGGAAATAAGGTGTACATTTTTGACAGGGTAATTAACCACTTGAACAGTTTACCCAGGGTCATGGTGGATTCTCTGTCATTGACTATTTTTAAGTCAAGGTTTGATATTTTTCTAAAAAAGATGATCTAGAAATTATTTTCAGGAAATTCTGTGACTTATTTACAGGTCACACTAGATGATCACAATGGCCCTTTTGGCCTTTGACTCCATAAATCTGAACTATTGGTTTGCTCTGGACTGTATTTATATTAGACATGAATAACTGAGTTTTAAAATTACCCTGTGAACCTGGCGTAATAATTGCCAACAGACAATGGTGATGATTATACTTCACATGTTCTCTACTCCTTTTTCATTTTTTGTAGCAGGAGAACCAACTGTAGGTTTCTTCTCTAAAGGAAAGAATGTTCCCTTGGTATCATTGCAGTGTGTTGGCAACAGGTTTTAACAAATATGCCAGATTTATCTATTCTATTTTGTTGTTTACGGAGCAAAGTGTAATTGTTGAGATTGTACTATAAATGATGATGATTTAATTGGGGATTGGTCCTGCTTTGAGCAGAGGGTTGGACTAGATGGCCTCCTGGGGTCCCTTCCAACCCTGATATTCTACGATTCTATGAAATATGCAAGTGCAGATACTAGACCAGTTTTAAGTATGGAATTACAACTTGTGGTGTATTATGCATTGTTTACCTGTTAGATAAAGGAAATGTAGAAGCACTAGAAACTGCAATAACAGATTGGGATGAAATAACAGTTGTCAATTGCGAAGACCGACTCAAACTTTTGCACTTTCTTAGATTAAGCAGTTTTCATACATCTGACAATGTCTCTGAGTGCTCAGCTTCTCCTAGAGCTCTTTCATACAGCAATGCCTTAAAGTGTTGGTTTTGCTCAAACTTGAGGGATGGAATTGGCAGTGGGCAGCTGGCTTAAAATGATGGTTCTGAGTTTTAAAATTAGCTCTTTTCACCTGTCCAAAGTAATGTCAAAGTTGATGTTTGGAGGCCATGTCTAAAATATCTAGTAGCAAATGTAATCGCCTCATTCCCATTGTCTTGAAATGTCTCTTCCTCCGCTGGGCATTGCACTGAATTTTGTTTTGTTGAAGAAATTCCCACTGTGTCCAGAATAAATCTTCCCTTATGTTGCATTTCCAAGTCAACTATGGTGACTTGTTAAAGGAACGTACTTCTTCCTTGTATATAACCTGAACTTCTGGCCAGGTTTATGATGTTTGGAGCCCCAGTGTTGACTTTAGGACTTAATGCTGTGACAACTTAAGCAATATTTAGCAAATTCCTCTGCCAAGCAAATGCGTTAGTGCTGGAGTGTCAAATGTGGACCACCACCAACAGTCATAATGTACAGAATAATGCTTCAGCTCTTGTCTTTATAGCACAGATACTGATGATCTTGTTGATTTGTGGTTAATATACACTGTCGTCCTGTGCTTTACTTTGTTCTATCCACTCTCATTTGTCCTCACAGTCTACATGAGAGGGGAGAATTGCATCCCAGTAGAAATGAACATTGCAGACTGTGTAGAGCATCACTGCACTGAGACTCTGCTGTTTAGATGGCCCACTTGTTTGAGAGAGAGATGGATATGGATGGACTCATCTAACAGTTTCCTTCTGGCGGGTTATGAGTAATCAGTCAGCTAAAGAAACCTCCCTCTTACAACAGCAGTTGGGAAAGAGTCCATAGACTCGAGGCTGCAATGTTGGCACAATGACTTATAGACGTCACTGCTTGAAAAGACCAGTTTCATTTCTCTCCCTCCCGTGACCAGTGCAGGCTTGTTCCCTATGTTGTTTTCTAATGGTTTTTGTAGTGTAGTTTTGAAGGGTTCAGTTATGGGGCTCTCACCATTTCCATTAGGAGACTGTTTTTCCAAGTGATGTACTGAAATTTTTCTGATGCTTAGCTGTATATAATTGCACCTACTTATGCCCTCTTTGACCCCTCCAAATAATTCCTTTCTTCTGGTGTTTATATCCATTCAGTGCAGTACAATATAATACAACTTTATTTGCATTTTGTATTTGGCACAAACTGTGTTCCAAAGCCCTTGGATTAAATTTCACAACTGCATCATTGTTATACTATACAAAGTATTACATAACTTTTACTCTTTTGGCATAAGGAATTATTTCAACCTGTTTATGCTGCTTTTATCAGAATTTGCTCCAGTTTTTGATTTTAAGCATCTTTGCAGTGCTTGAGATGTGGAACAAAGAGTTAAAAATATACAGCATTAAAATACAAGTAAACACAAGATGCCAGCCAAGACTCTCCAAATAATTGCTCTCCAAAATCCAGTAAACAGTACCACCTCATCATCATCATCTCCAAATTAATCCCATCAACCCATCTCCCTGTATGCTTAGGGACAAGATGAGCCCCGGGAGAGTGTCCAGAAAAGTAACGAATCTGAGGAGTGGCCAGGAGTGCATTCTGGAGTAAGGAGCACCACCTTCTCCGATTTAGACCAAAGTGGCTCCAGTTTGAGCATTTCTGTTGCTTGCAACCACAGCAGTATGCATAGGGAGATGGGCTGTCACTTAACTAGCCATAATAATTAATTTTTATTAACCACTTTGCACTTTATAGGTCAAAGCAGCACTTTGAACTCCACCTGGGAGTCAGCAGATGGACTGATCAGCTGTATAATGTGCTCCCTGCAGAAAACCCCATTTAGCAAGTAAACAGCCACATTTGCCACTAACTTTAGCTTCCAAATCATCCCAAGATCTGTCATCATGTGTAGCATGCTGCAATAATCTGAGCTCAGGGTGTCAAAGGCATGAATAATTGTAGCAAGGTCTATGTCTGATAGAAACAGTCACTCCTCAGGCACAGATGAGTTGTGGAGGCAGTGTTCTTGGCCAAAATTCTTAGCTCTGAGCAGTCCCAGAATTTATAAAGAGCTGTGTATTGTATACCTATGAGACAACTGAACAAGTACCAGTAATTTCAGCAGTCAGGTGCCCAGAATTGGATGCACAGAGCATCCTAGCTGTTTGTGCATGCCACAGCTCTAGTAGGAGAGACAATTTCCTCCTTGCTACAAGATGAGGGTGATGCGATTGTTTTACGCATGCCCCAAAACTTCATTGGCCTTTTTTGCTGGTCCCTCCCTTTGCACACTCTTCCCTGGTGTGCTCTCTGCTTGCAACTACTGCTTCCCAAGTTTCTCCTTCCCACCGACTATCTGTATTTAAGATTATTTCCCCCTGTGTTATTTATTAGCTGTGTTTTCCCAAATTGAACCTCATTTTATGTTTTGCACTGTTATAGGCTGGAGAATGAGTCACTATTGCTTAAATGAATTAGGGTGGGTGAATTATTATTTTTTAGGACACAAACTGTTTTCTAAAAAAGAAAAGGAGTACTTGTGGCACCTTTAGAGACTAACCAATTTATTTGAGCATAAGCTTTCAAGTACTCCTTTTCTTTTTGTGAATACAGACTAACACGGCTGCTACTCTGAAACTGGTTTCTATTACTCACCCTGTTTCATTCATATAGCTTTCCAAATTATTCACTTTTAGGGCTGAAATCTTCTGTTCTTGGTTTCTGCTTCAAGGTAAATTTTTGGAAAGCTCAAGCAAAGTGCTTTCAGTTATGGGATAGGATAAAATATTCTCTGTGGGAAGGAGAACTTCCAAGATCCTTATACAGCTGAAGTATAAAAAGTAAAACTATATATGGGTAGTCCTTGGGGATTAAAATCCTAGCTTGTTGTGGGGTTGAGGCAAAGGAGAAATAATTTTTATAAGTAATTATAAACCATTTCTAAGCATGCATGGTGTGAAGCTAAAATTGAAGCAAAGACTTTTGAATCTCAGCCCTCCCTGCCCTCCCTTGTGGCATCACTGCAAAATTCTGCCTTACTGGAGGCTTATGCAGGCACAGAAGCTGTAGCTGGGGCATTTTGTATTTAAAAACGTTTGCAAGTGTCTAATTGAAAACTCCTCAGCCCAAAAAGTGTCTTAACATTTGGAGCAAGAAAAAGTTGTGGGTGGCAAAAAAATAATAATTGAGTCTTTGATGGGTGTGCAACCGTTCCTGCATTCTACAAATACAAGCTTTTACTTACAGGAAAATTGTGCCATTCTGTTGCAGAGATGCAGCTCTTCCCAGCGGCAACTGATGTGATGTAGTTTTATTAACCCAATTTGACAGTGTGGCCAAAATTAGGAGCAACAAAAATGGGGCATTAATCCCTGTCGTCTTTCCATATACACTTTGTTAGTTTAGTGTTTAAATACAGAAAATTCTCCCATCCCATTTTCTTGGGAAAAACAAACCTTTTTAAAAAAATGCAGATTTCTTAATGCAATATTAAGTTGGTCAATTCTTAGGTAATTTCTACATTCCCGATAATTGTGATTTTTAAGGTTTTTACAGCGATATTAAGTTGGCCTATTGCACATGTGCTTTTAGTGTAAAACAGAATTAGTAAATACTGTATTACAGAAGCTTGATTGTTGCTGTTGAAATATTAACATTTCCTGATATTTGTGATTTTTAAGTCTGCTATATTAGATGTATCAACACTGTATGTAAAGTACCTGCCCAGTCGTACGCACCCTTTGCTCTCCCAAATTCAGTGGAGGGTGATCTGTATTTACTTTTTGTAATGAGTACTTAACAGTTGCAATAATGAAAGAAATGCAGTGCGCTCAGATTTGTGGTCGCTCTCATTCATTATCGTAGGGCTAGTCTGCGCTGGCAACGCTGAAGCGCTTTGATGTGCCTGTGCGGTCATGGCGCAGTGCTGGGGGAAAGCTCTCCTAGCGCTCTAAAAAGCCACCTCCGTGAGGGGCGCAGCTACCAATGCTGAGCACTGTCTGCACTGGCGCTTTACAGTGCTGAAACTTGTTGCACTCGGAGGGGGGGGTTCACACCCCTCAGCGTGGAAGTTGCAGTGCTGTAAATGGCTAGTGTAGACAAGCCCTTGCTTTGCATCAGCAGTAGTAATTCAGGGATCTCAAGGTACTGTACAAAATCTTCATTCCTGTTTTACAGATGAGGAAACTGAGGTCCATGAGTGCTGGGGGGCGGTGGTGGCCTGAGACGTACAGGAGGTCAGACTAAATGATTGGACCGTCCTTCATTGCCTTAAACGCTGACTCTCTGAAGTGACTTGCCTGAGGTGTCACTTCATGTCAATAGCAGAGCTGAATATAATTCTTGGGTCTCCTTACTCCTCCCCTGCTTCAACCACTCGAACGTTTTGCCTTATAACAAGTGTTTAACATGGGGTTGTACTTGGTTGATTACTTTCTACTTATGTAATTTTACTGTCTGCCTAGTATTTTATAAAAGGTCAATGAACATAATTGATTCTGCCATTTTTATGAATATCTGTGGAACAGATGGCTGACTATTTAGATGCTTATTTTATGCATTCAGTTTGTTCCTTTTCTCTTTCAGCCGAGTGGTTTTACCATGCTCAGTGCAAGAGGTATGTACTCTCTACCTTTCTAGTTGGGCTTTGTGGTCTTATTTTAAAAACTGATTAGCCGGGATCCAAATGTTGGTTCGGTGCTGTGCGTTCACTAGTCTACCAGATGTGAGATACTGTCCCATCAGTGAGGCAGAACAAACTTGTCTCAGCTCAGTGAACTTCAAAGCAGACAAATGACTACAGGTCAAGAAACTTTAGCTGCTTCCAAGCCAATCCAGTGCTTATGATCAAGAAAAGGAAATTGTAAATCTCTTCATTGCTGCAGAAACTTCCTGCTGATCAGGCATTGTGTGACTCCAGCTAATATAGTTCTGTCCCCCATAAAACAGGGATAGGGACACTCTTTAAGTGTCTGAAACTGAGGATTTAAATGGCACTGAAATGCACTTAAGTAAAGCTCACTCCCCCAAGTTGAACAGAAAACTTCCTGTTCTAAGGGGAAATGCAGCCTCTTTCGTTTACCTTCTGGTAGCTAGTTCCATCCACCTAAATAGCTTTCTCCAAAGAAAGCTGTGTTATATACATGTGTACTGACCTCTTGAGTAACTGTGTGCATGTTAAAGCTGCAACACTGGAAATAAAACTAATCATTTCACAATTTTACTAAACTAAAAACACTTAAATAGCCATACTTGCATGTCTTTTGCCAGAACAGAAATAGTGTTTCGTAGTTCTCTTGGGTATCATGGAAAATTAATAGCACAAAGAATAAAATTCTTGATCTGTCTAGTGAGGCCCAAGATTGTATGCTGTTGTATTAATGTGGAACAAAACAAATAGATCACAGAGCCTGTTTTCATGATCCATTAGACATATTTTTCCAATATTTTGTCATTCTCTAGTGTGCACTTTCCTTATACTAAAGTGTCAGTTTGCTTGCATGTAATTATGTCCATACAAAGTTCTCTGGTCAAATTGAAATATCTAAATTCTGACACACTAAACAGTTTTCCTCTGTCCCATTTTAATGTTGAAATTTTGTATCTCTTAATTTCAGTATCAAGTTGGGCAACTTTACTCTGTGGCAGAAGCTAGTAAAAATGAAACAGGAGGTGGTGAAGGAATTCAAGTCTTAAAGAATGAGCCTTATGAAAAGGATAGTGAAAAGGGACAGTATACCCACAAAATCTATCACTTAAAGAGGTAAGGGATCTATTTGGGTTCTTTCTGTGGGGGAATTACTGACTCATGATTTCCCAGCTCCTATTTTTATTATGTAAAAGTACAATACACTGCAGTCTTGTCCAGGAAATATTTAGAGCCAGTTTGGAATTTTATGAAGGGTAATGGGGAAGAAGAAGAGCACACCATAAAATGGGTCTGGACATCCAAAAAAAGTTTTAGGCACTTAATTCAGAGGAGACTTTTTTGCTGTTTTATACAGCTCATCAAATTGCTGATGTTAAATACATGAGTTTTCCCAAAGCTTGTGATACTTCGGCCTGTGCTTTGGTTAGTGAAGAAATTCATGGCAGCAGGATATCGCCACTAACATATATTTTTGACAAGACTTTACTTGATGCCTTTCCCTGTGCGATGTGAGCACTACCTCAGCCAGGCTGCAGGTCCCTGGACTGTTCCTGAAATTGGGCCATATTTGCTACCAGTGAGCTATGTTCTCTTCTTTTTACAATTATGGAAGAGGAGTTCCTCTGAGGTCATTTTCTTGCTTACTCTTTTGACACACATGCACCAGTGTGATGTGTCTAGTGTAAAAAGTGGTTTAATATCTTGGCTACAATTGTCTTCCACTTCTACTCTTGAATGGGAAATGTTCATTAATATTTGCCTATTAAAGTTGTTGCTGGAATCTTGCTACAGCTGCTGGGACCCCTGATCTATTTTGATCTTGTCAGTACTGTAAACAGACTGTCCAGTGGACCAAAGAGTATAGTTCTGTATCTATTACGGTTTTCTTTGAAGGCTTAAATAATATAGAACAGAAGGTTGTAGTTAAGACCTAGAAAAAACTGACTAACAAGAAATGGATTGTTGAACAGAACCTCCTTCTAGTTTTCTGTGATTGGTAATGTCAAAGTTTTCAAAGTTAGGAATATAACTTTCTGACCTAAGAAATTCCTCCTTGGTTGTCTTTCATTTTCCTTACCTAAAGTGGATATGGGATTCAACTAAGCCCATGCTTTGTGCTAGTGTTTAATTTGGTAGGTGTATGCAGTACAAATTGGTAATGGAGATGTGCCAGGGCTTCATTTCATCAGGAAGCTGTACGTGTTCTACTTCAGTTTAAAATTAAGATATTGGTAGTTAAGTGTGTTGCTACAATTTTGTGGTGTAGCTAGTAGAAATTGACTTGTGCGGAGTTTGCTCACCAAAGTTTGAGGAGTGAAGCCCTCCTCCCTTATTTTCTGTTGGACTACTCAGCATGATAATCACTGGTGGTGTTTTGCATAGCTTACTATATCTAGTTTACCATTTTACAAGAAATCAGAATTTTCAGCTCTCTTGTAATTGTTTAAACTGCTCTTCTTCTTTTGTTCCTGCAAAAAATTATGAACATGAGCCTCCCAGCTGGCCTGTCCTATTTCTAGAGCCCCTGTCACAATAGTATTTCGGAACTAAGTGATTTAGAGATGTGTATTAAATAAGAAGTCTTAACTTGGGTCATTAGAGTATGACTTGTTTATAGACTGCTTTTAATGTGGGGTTTCTTACAGCTTTCCAGTTAGTTCACTGAGCTCACATGTTCTAAGAATACGTATTATCTTTTTTAAGAGAGATCTGGAACTCAGTAACGTTTAACTTTTTGATCTGGTTCTCTCAGAATATATTATTCCTGGGGAATTCTGCACTGCTGTGCAATGCAGAATTTAGCGGAACTCCCTGTTTACCCTGCAGAATTTCTGGCTGCCACTAGGGGCCGCTGGACTCTGCGGAGCCCAGCTCAAAGTGAGCAGATCGCCCAGCCTGGGAGGGCTGGAGGCTGCACGCTCTGCTTGATCCTCATTCTCCCAGGATGGGAGAGGGCCTGGGAGAACCAACCAGCTTTGGCAAAGGGTGAGGGAGGGCAGGGCTGTATCACAACACGTCCCCTGGTGGGACAGTAAAGAAACTGCGGGGAGTAAAGGCTCTGGGTGTGCTGGGGCCTGGGGGCTGCCCTGCTGCTGGGCTCTGTGGGGAGGGAGGTGCTGGTGTCTGGGGCGGTGCCTTGCGGCTGATCTCTGCGGGCCCAACACAGCCCCCTCGAGCACTCCCAACTGGGACTGGGTTGTTAACTGTCTACCCCTGGGGGAATCTTTTTTGCTGTTGTCTGTATTGTTGACATACTTGTTGACAGGTATTTTGAAATAAATAACCAAAATAATTGAAACTGGAGTGATTATATTGTGGTGTTTTGACAAATAAAATGTGCAGAATTTTGAAGAATTTTAAAATATTGTGTACAGAGTTTTGGGGTTTTTTTTGTTTTTTTTTTTAATTTTTTGATGCAGAGTTTTTAATTTTTTTGTTGCAAAATTCCCCCAGGAGTATAATATATAATAGCCACTTTCTGTGATACATGAGGATGTAATTCCGATGTTTAAACTTCAGTATTTTACATACTTAAAACTAGAGCTGGTTGAACAAAACTCCAATAATTTAGCTAACTCTATTCCATCAATTCATGAAGAAATTATTCATGAATAACTTCTTCTGTTTGACAAACTCCTTAAAAAGTGAAAAACCCAAAGGCACTTTTGCAAGTGCACACACATTCATTAAAGTAAATGTAGAGTTAGGTATGTCCTAGTGCATATTAATCTCTGGATGGGAATATCCCTTAGACAGGAAGGTATATTATATTTGAAGGATTGTACTCTAAATGGAAAGGGGAAAGGCAAACTGAAGGCACAGGAACAATAGACAAACTCGGGTGAGGCAATAACTGCAGGGAAGGCTGCAGATCTCCTTGTCAGACCTGGGCACAATGCAGAGATTACACTGGTGGATGTTGTTGAAGGTCTCCTGGCAATGAATGAAGATCCATTGTCCATTGGAGATATTTTCTATCATTGGCTTTCACTACCATTGATTGAGGTGTTGCTGACTTGTGTGCAGAGGGAGTGGATATGACTTCTCTCAGGTTGCTGACCATTCCCAAGGGAGGAGGATGAATCCTTGTTCATCATCCCCAAGAGTGCTCCCATGTGGAATCAAACAGATTTCAATTTTATCTCCCTGACAGTTCAAGACCTACATGGAATCAGTGGTGGGGGAGGGGTGTTAATGAGGGGTATTTCAATATGTTGTGTGCTTTCTCATTTGACCCAGCCGGTGCTGTCCAATGCCTGATTCAGTGTCTGTGGGAGACTGAGGTGACAGCAAAATGAGATGTCACTCCCAGCAGAGAGCCAAAGCAGGAACCCCTTTGGTTTAAAAGAGGGAGCTGCTCACAGGGTCCTGAAGTGGTGAATGCATTTCTTAAATAGCCAGATTTGTTGTTCTCCAGCTTGTGCTACCTAGGCATTTGGGGAAGGAGGGGTATGAGAAGAGCTAATGTTTATCGTAAAGGTGGGGAGTGGTGACTATTTGTCAAATTTTAATTCAGTCTTTGATTTGTTATTTTTCTAGTGTGGAGTGAGGAGCAGCTACTGATCCAGTCTTTTTATGTGGCTTTTGTGTTTGTCAATGGTTCATAGAGCTTGGGATGTGTGTATCTTTTGTATATAAATCAAATAAATGTTGTTCGGCTGGCTCACGTCTGATCCTTGGGTGGAAGAGTGTGGTACAGGCACTATTCAGTAAAAAGAAAAGGAGTACTTGTGGCACCTTAGAGACTAACCAATTTATTTGAGCATGAGCTACGAAAGCTCATGCTCAAATAAATTGGTTAGTCTCTAAGGTGCCACAAGTACTCCTTTTCTTTTTGCGAATACAGACTAACACGGCTGTTACTCTGAAACCTGGCACTATTCAGTGTAAATTATACATCAACTGAAGTTACCCAAATGTTAGGATAGCCAGATCTTCATGTCTCTAATTAGATTTCAGAGTGGTAGCAGTGTTAGTGTGTATCAGCAAAAAGAACGAGGAGTCCTTTGTAGCACTTAGAGACTAACATTTATTTGGGCATAAGCTTTTGTGGGCTAAAACCCACTTCATCAGGTAGGTTTTAGCCCACAAAAGCTTATGCCCAAATAAATGTTAGTCTCTAAGGTGCTACAAAGTACTCCTCGTTCTTTTTTCTGCTAATTAGAATAATTTGGTCATAAAGTGTAGTAAGTAATACCTTATCTATTCACTTTAAATACTGAAATCTCATGTTTGCTATCAATCAGTGTTTTCCTATTCAAGATTAAACTTGTTCATGTCAGATAATTTTTTTTTTTTATTGCCAAACAGAGGTTCCAGCTTGGCAGCATGAGCCAAAACATGAGCTGATTTGTTGGAGCTAACTACAAGCATATGGAAAATTATATCTGGAACTTAATGTACAGGGTTGCTGTGGCTACTGTGAAGTTGTTAGAATATTTTTGTTGGGTTGGCTCTGGCTGGCCCATTTAAATCTGTTTCAAGCATTAAGGTTGAATATTTGAAAATAACAATACATTATTTTGCCATTTGTTCTGGATCTCTCCATCTGGTCAGTCACCAGTCGTACCTATTGAAGTGTGAGCTCACTAACTCTACAATCATGTTGAAGAGGTGATCTTTACTTACCAGCCATTCTTTAGGGAAAAGATGACTTTTCCATTCCATTTGAGGTAGAAAGAACCTTGAATGATTGTCCTGAGTGTTGGACTTCAGCATGGGTTGCTGGCCTTGTTCTTGGCCCCTTCATTCTTTTCTCCAGGTAGCCCCACTGACTTTTCAGCTTGCTTTCTTGATCTAACAGGGCATGGGACACTGAAAATATTCTCCATTTTAAAGGGAATCTGTTCAGGAACTGGGTATCATCAAACACTAGAGGTAGTGAAATGATAAGGAATTAAAGCAGGCCATAGGTTCAAGTGCCATCTTAAGCAGTAATTTCTTTCTCCTCAAGAAATCAGATAAAATCCTAACTTGAGTTGCAAGAGGTAGCAATCTAACCACATAACATGGCATTTGTGAGTAATCATTATCTGCTATGTGGGATCAGTTGATGTGAAAAGGAACAACTAATTCCTGGAAGGTTGTTGCAGGCCATTCTTTAAGTGCATGGGCAGAGCTGAGTGCAGATGTCTGTACTATAACTACCTTAAGTCTGTACCACTGATTACAATTTTATAAGCTACAAACTCGCAGTCTTCAAAAAAAGAAATAAACGTTTTAGTGTTGGAGCTATTCCTGATCCATTATGGATAATGAGAACCACAACTGTAGATAGAATCTCTCCTGTTTCAGGGCATAAACCAATCACCAGTTGCCTGGGGATCAGAAAAACATCTTTATGGGGTTTCTGTACTTTTCTCTAAAGCATCTGGTCTGACCACTCTTGGGGAGAGAATTCTGGATTAGGTGGGCCTTAGGTTTATTCAGGCCTGACAATTCCTATACTAAGAATCAAAATTTACTTAAGACATAACTGGGATAATTTAATTGATTCCTATCCAGGTTCTAGATCAGAGCTAACTGAGCTACATGACTTCATCTATGTCATGTCATGCCGCTAGAGAGATCAACAGACCAGAACCTTAGAGCAGAGTTTCTTTAGACAATGGTGTTTACGGTAGTTGAAGAGAAAGGAAAGCTAAACTAAATTTATGATTGAGATCATGCTGCTGAAAATGTTTAATTGACTCCATTACTTTGGGAATGGGAACATTATTGCAGTTCATACAAATTAAACTGATTGCTTGTGCATCATAATTTTTAATATGCTTGGGTAAAAAAAGTGCCTTTTCAATTAGATTGCTAGAAATCATTGTGGAATCTCATTCAGTTGGCAGAGCTGTAACAAACATACACTATTTTGCTCTTCACAGTAAAGTTCCTGGGTTTGTAAGGATGATTGCTCCAGAAGGCTCCTTGGTATTCCATGAAAAGGCTTGGAATGCATATCCATATTGTAGAACAAGTAAGCTTGCTCTGAATTGATTCTTACCTTTTTGCCATACTGCTTAGAGATGCTATCAAGTGGTTTAGGCCCCAAAGTTTTGTAATTGGGTGGAAAATACCTTACAGGTCACTTTTTGGCAAACCTACTCTGGCTGAGCTATGCAGCCATGAAAGACGACAAAAGTTACCAGCAGATTCTAGTCCCAAGACATAATTGTGTGCTGTGCATGATGTCTCCAGTACCAGACTAAAGAGTCTGACTAATGTCTCTTTCCAAATCCAGGATAAAACTTGTTAGGAAAGAGACATAATTTACAGTCCCTAAAAGCTTCTGCAAAGGATAAATGTAAAGGTTAAAAATGACAATTGTAGATAGCAATCAAAGTTCCTTTGATCTGATGCACTATTCATGTTTACTGTCCAGAAAACGCTTTGGTCTTTAGAGGAGGAAGTTGCGTAAAGGAGATGCATTCACCATATTCCATTTCTGAAGCTTTGATTTCTTTAAATTTCAAGAATCCTGTCCCTTTTTTATTTTTTGGCCCGTCTTGTTTCAGTGTTTAAAATACCTTAAAGCATACTTCATCTTTAACATTAACAAATTGTTTCACAGAAGTATGTTGATGAATGGTTTTATTGTGGGGTTATCTTATTGAACAAGGCGTTTTTAATGAGCAATTGTTATACCTTCTGTATATAACTCAATCTGTATTACAGATTGCTTTAGAGTTAAGACTTTTGTGACAGACCTGTTGCACATATTAACACTATTTTGAATGCCTTCTTTTCCTTTTCGTTGCATGTCCCTCTGGCTTTCAGTTGTGACGGTGAGTACCTGGATTATTATTTGTTTATGAAATGTGTTTTAATGTGGCTCTTGGTTATTAAAGTTATAACTGACTTTCTGATGCTGCATATCTGCCAATCCAGACTCTGGTTTACTGATTAGGTAAGATTCCACCAGTCAGAAATCAGAATTTTCAGATCCTATACTTGCCACTACTTCTCTTCCTTATTCTCTTGTTCTGCTCTCATCACTCACGCTGCTCTTCATAATTCCTGATACTGGAGCAGTACACCACAGCCAAATGATTTAATAGCTGTGAATGTATAGTTTAAAATGGCAAGAGTTCCACAGGAAGCTATCCAGGAAAGGGAAGAAAGTGCCTTGGGGTCTACTTTCCTTCAGCTTAGCATAGCAGACTAGCTTTGCCCTATTGCATCAAACACTCTCCAGGCAATTATGGCAGGGTCTGGGCATGTGACCTGTTTGAAATTGATAGCCAATGTCTCTGGAGGAGCTTTCTTTCTACCAGAAAGTGGTAAGTACTCTCAAGGATAGTCAGAGGGATGCAGGCTTTCTCTAGTTCAGTGGTCCTTTTGTGAAGGCTGGTGCTGAGGAATACCGATTGTGTGTCCAAAATGCAAGTACATAACCTCTTCCTGAAGCTGAAGTGAAAAAACCACCCAGCCTAAAACCTCCCCCAGCAATCCCTCATAGGAAGCTTTAGTTTTCACCATAGTCTTTGAGAAGGGTAAAACCTCCAATAGCGCCTGAATCAGTGTATATATGGCGTTATCTGAGCTATGATACTCTGTTCCCTGCATAAGGCCAAATTAGCCTACTGTATTTATGCTGCATCTCTGTTGGATTCACTCACTGAATTTAGAGGTGGAAAATACTTGGGTCTTTGAACTTCCAGGAGACAGAATACTGAATTAGATGGAGCACAAGTCTAGTCTGGAGTGGCAGTTCTTGCTGTGGTTCCACCCCAGAGCCAGCTGCTGAATTTTCCTGCTGAATGTCCTGCTTGGAATCATTCAAGTTGAGTGTAGCTGTAGAAAGGGAAAAGATTAGCACTTCCTCATTTGATTTATTGTGTAGTGCCCAAGAACTCAGAAGTCTCTTTTGTAGATATAGACAAGAAATGCTCAAAACAGTGTCATTGCACTGAGCAAAGTTAGTATCCAAAGTGGTAATGGTTTAATGAAACGGACACACAACTGCTATCATAATTTAATGGGAATTTGTGTAACCTCCTGCATCACTTTGCAAATTTGGCCCAAATTTGGCAATGCAGTAAAGTGAATTTTAAATGAAAGTTAGATTTCTATAAATGAGCAACTTCCTTTGTGACTCTAGTTTGGCCCATCCTGCAACATTATAAACCAGTGTGTTAAAGCTGGATTAGTCAGAGTAGGAATGACACCAGTGGGTATTTAAACATTGAGCTAATATCAAACAAAAAAGCCCTTCTCATTGTTAAAAACTGTTGTAATGTGTAAATCAGTTTTTGGTCTCTTCTATAGTATATAGCCACTGTAGCTTGAAATTAGTCAATTGACCCTGGGATACTTGGCAGAAATACACCCTGCCAGCATCTGCAAATATAATGGATCCTGCCTACAGAGATAACACTGATACTGTCAGAACTCACAGCCCAACCTTTCCTCCACATGGAGAGCTAAAACGTTTTGCATGCAGATGATGGGTAATCCAGCATGTAGTGAGTTAAGCTTTCTGTTACAGAGAAGGGCTGGGAATTTGGGAATGCTTTGAGGGACCAGACATTCTCATTGGGAAGCTCACATTAACTCAAGCTCCACTTCTATAGTCCTTTTATGTATGCCATGACAACAGTTCATAGTTCTTTGTGAAACTGACATCCAAGGTAATAGCTGTAATGTAAAGTGTTTTTTCCCTGACAAATGAAACTCCTTCATTTGCCAAACTTTTTTCAGTCTTACCAGTAAGCAGTTAGTCTGAAAAGTCAGCTCTTTTGAGGCAGTATGATGAAGAATCACAGGTCAAATCTATAGGGTTCCTTGACTGTGGGAATAGCTGGGTAATAAGACTGGCTCATGTTCAAAAATTCCTATTCCTGATTGGTGAATGGGCTAACCCAGAATCTGGATTGGTATCACTTAATGACTTAAATTTGAAACTAGTGCTTGTCATAATGGTAAGTGTCTCTTCAAAGACTGTTTTTTAGTTTTTGTAAAGTGCCTTGCCTCCTTTCTAATATTTTTATTAGCTGGAAGTAATGTTAAATTGCTTGACCTGCTCTCTGTCAAGCAGATTTCATTTCTGAATAGGAATTTATTGTGGAATCGCCACTGTGGACATTCTATGAAAACAGCTCAGCTCTCACTAGAGACCAGCTATACAAGGAGTTGCAGATGGGGCTGTAAATCAGGTTTAGCTTGACCAATCGCAGTATGTGTATACGCATACATGCATGCAGGTGCATGCTTTCACTTTGTATCAGTAACTGCTTTCCTTGCTACTCGAGGGGGGCGGAGGAGGGTGTGGAAATTTGTCTGTTAGGTGGAGTTTCATGATTAGGCTGATTCTTGCTTGCATATTTCTACCTGCCACTGGAAATTTCCACTACATCATCCGACGATGTGGACGTTCACACATGAAAGCCTATGCTCCAATACGTCTGTTAGTCTATAAGGTGCCACAGGACTATTTGCCATGATTAGCTTTGTTACGTTAAATTTCATGTTCCCTGGATTTTAGCATTAACTCACGGAATATTAAAAAATAAAATTGAAAATTCTTTTGGGACATTTCCTACATTTTAGTACTACAGGAAAGACCCCACAGCAGAATAGTATTTTTGCATGGGACCTTTTGTTAAGACGTCTGTCATAGTCAGTCTTAATAAATAAAATCCTGACTTTAGAAGAAATAGAAAACTTGCTGTGACATGGGTTGGGGGATACTGAAACCACTTGGAAGAGTCCAACTGAAGTGTTTACAAATTCTCCATATTTGTATGGGTAGGTGTCCTGGGTATCTAGATTTACCAAATGGCCATCGTTCAAGTTACTGCTTATGCTCTAACCAATATTTCAGGTTGAGGTGTAGGACATCTAAACTTGTCTGTTTCCGTGTGCAGTAGTGAGGCCTCTATTTCTGTTCCTATCAGAGTTAAAATCGGAAGCAAAGTTGCTAGTCAAGGCCTACAGTGCCTCCTCTGGTGGAGAAATGAAGTTGTTAAATGTAAGATTTAAAAGGGGAAAAAATAGTCACCCTTCTGCTGCTTGGTTTTGTTTTTTTACAGAATGAATATATGAAAGATGACTTCTTCATAAAAATCGAGACCTGGCATAAACCAGACTTGGGGACATCAGAAAATGTAAGTCAGGGTCCAGTAGTAACCCAGCGTTTGCCATACTTACTGCACACATTGAACCTGATGGACCAATATCTCTTTTCCGGCTGTGGCCGATAGTTGATGCTTAAAGGAAGGCAGCCTCCCTCCAATAAATAATAAAAACTACTCCTCTAAACCAATGAAGCTATTTTTCCTACAGGCGTGGAAGGAAGAGGTTAGAGAAAGGGAGATGTTTTTATTTATTTTCAAAGCTTAAGAGATCTTCAGATCATTCAGTGAATGGGAATTGTATAACTACCCTAGATATAGCTCCTGAACACTTGTTCAAAGAAACTTCTTATCCTGGATGTCTCCTATTCCAGCGGCTCCAGCAAGGGTTTTAAATGAATTGTACTGGTCACTTTGAAGGCATACACTCAGTCCTCTTTGTTCAAGCATTTTATTAATGTTTCATATTGAAATTCCTTTTTTCAGCTAATTTTCTGTCTGGAAATATCCTGGATTGGTCCCTCTCAGTGTAGCTGGTTCAGTGCCAGTACGGTGGTGCGTGATTTGGGCTGTCCCCTTTCTCTTCTCTAATGAAAGAGTAACCAGATACTAATGGTGGGCCCCTAGACAAATATAATTGTCCATTTTCAGTGTTTGGATGACTTGCCTGGACCCTTGTTTTTCACGCAGGCTAGAAACCTGCAGAGGGGATGACTTATGCTAGTGAAAATAGAAAGTAAAAAGTGTTCCCAGACAGTTCTGCTTGTGCTTAATCTGAAGTGTATCTATGGCTAACAGCTATATGTATATGACACATGGTATGTATCTGGGCCCTTTGGTTTGCATAGGTCACGTCTTTTGAGAGAAATTTTAATGGATACATTTCAAAACAGTATATGGCTAACAAACTTCAAAATGTGCTGGGGTCTCTAATGAACTCATTTGACGTATGGCAGGTTACTAATAACTGGATCACTTGCATTTCAGAGCTTTATGTGAAAGTTGCTCACTAAAACATCTGCCTAGCCTATTGAATGTGTAATGATTCTAATTACAGTGTTTGATGTCATTATCTGTAAAGAAAGTGACAGAAGAATACAATTTAGTCTTAAAACCAAGCTCCTCTGAAAGCACAGAACTGAAGGTTTTAATAAAGCTACAACTAGCTTCAGAATCACTTAATTAAATAAATGGTAACTTCGGAGTGTATTCCCCAGATGATTCTAAGAAAACTGTCCATCTCTGTAGAACTCAGAAAAATCTGCGTAATACAGAACTAATGCAGTGCCGCAATAAGGCGACACAGGGTAAAGTCCCTTCTTCTCCCCATTGTAGGTGCACGACTTAGATCCAAACACGTGGAAGAGTGTTGAAGTTGTCCATATTGACATTGCAGACCGAACTCAAGTAGAACCAGCAGTAAGTAGACACTGTGCTTATTGGGAGATGGTTGTCCTGTCATGCTAATTACTTTGGCCTAAATTTGCACCTTTAACATTGGTTATATTAGTTTATTTACAATCAATGGAAAACAATGTGTTTCATCCCACAAGTAAATATAAAATTGTTTTAAATAGAATTATTAATCTAAATTAGGGGATGTCAAATGATTTAAAAAATTGTCATTAATCACGAGATTAAAAAAATTAGTTGCAGTTCTATTTGCACTGTTAAACCGAATACCAATTTAAATTTATATTTTTTGATTTTTCTACATTTTCAAATATGCGGTTTTCAGTTACAACACAAATACAAAATGCACCATGCTCAGTTTTTATTTTGATTACAAATATTTGCATTGTAAAAAGATAAACAAAAGTAGTTGTATTTTTGAATTCACCTCATACAAGTACTGTAGTGCAATTTCTTTATCGTGAAAGCGCAACTTACAGAATTATTATTTTTTATGGGCTGTTAAATCATCACAGTGAACGCATTATTTTTTTTAAACCAGTGTTAATCACACACCTCTGTTTTGACCCTCTTCACTTACAGTACTTCATCACTTGGCGGACACTGGCACAGTTCTACTGTGTTCTCCTGATGTGGAGTGATTAAATATCAGAAAAAGCTAATGGAGCAAATCAGCAAAAGTTCAGGTCTTTTGAATGGGAAGGTTATTTATAAAAACTTCCAGATGGTTCTCTGGATAAAGAGATGGTTATCTGTAGCCATTGCAAGGCTGAATTCCAATACCATTGAAGTACTCTGAGTCTTCAGTACCACCTATGCGCTAAACATGCTTTCACCTCCAGTTCTTGTGCTCCAGGTAACCCACCGACTGCAAATAAATCCTGCCAGCTGCGACAGAGTACACTTAAGAGTTTCAGGGTTGCTGCAATCTCATGGATCAAACAAAATACAACAGCTTAACCAATGGTATTGCAAAGTGGATAGCTATGGACTGCAGACCACTCATATTTTGTAAATGAGAGGGCTAAGAGGTGGTGTTCAAATTGCGTCTTCCAGTCAGTCATACACCCTGCCCTCCTGAGGAACCATTGCATCAGGGACACATGACCTATATCACAATGAAAAGACTACAAGTTTGGCGCTTCTGAAAAATGCACTAGCTATTTGCTTTGGTTGATGATCACTGGACATCCTTGAGTGATCACAGCTATCTTGGAGTCACGACACACCTGATTGATGCTGCATGGATACTATAGTCGTTTGCTTTAACAGTAATACATAAACCTGTGATTAATCGCAACTAATTTTTTAAATCTAGTTAGTTTTGCATTAATCACTTGCATTAACGGCAGTCTAATCTAAATGCTCAGTACTTTTAAATTTTGTGGGTACTTGCTAATCTATCAGGTTTGATTTTTATCAGCACATTGAGGGCAATGGATTTTTGGGAAACGGATAGCTGACTTGATCAAACTGACTTGATCAACATTAGTGTGCTGGTTTCAGCGTGTGAGGCTGAAATTGAAACAGGAATTGAATCCAGCTCTTCTGCATGGCCTGGAACAGAGCTCTGACCTGGCCATCCCTTTTTGTCGCTATTTTAGGAATATATTCTTAAATAGCCCTCCGTTGGGTTATGGCAGGTTCAAACAGATCTGTCTTTGCTGCAGAAATCTCTGTTGGAGAATTGCTATTGCTTCTATCCTTTCCAACTTTATTGAACACTTCTGCCCTTCAGTGCAGCAATTATCACCAGATGGGCTGGTCTTTTCATCTCTGCTAGCAGATAGATGGGCCAACTGTAGCTAGAGAAACACCGATGTCATTTCTTCAGCTTCCCCTCTCCAGTTACTGCTTGGTTGCTGCTATTTATTATTTTGAAGCACGTATTATTTTGCCAAGCACCTCCCATGGTCCCTGCCCTGAGAACTTACGATCTAGTTTCAGATGAGATGCAATTCAGGGATAATGCAACAAAGAAAATGGCAGCGCCTACATTGGTAAAGTTAGGCAGTTATTTAGTGTAAGTGTGTGTCGTTTGCATGTTGCAATACTGGACGTGCTCAAGGAGCACAGAACTGGAAAGGACCTTCTGGGTTGTTGAGTCCAGCCTTCTGCTATTGCTGGCAACCCCGTCATATAATGTTCATAAACTTAGCAATCTCCATCTTGAAACTAGTTAGGTGTTTTGCTCTCGCTACTCCTATTGGGAGGCTGTTCCTGAACCTCACTCCTCTGATGGTTAGAAACAATCTTCTAATTTGCAGCCTGGCTATAGGCCTGGCAAGCTAACTTGGGAACGGCAGTGCTTGTGTGAGGGGCGGTGAGTGACCAACTAATGGAAATGATTGCAGACGTATTAAATGTCCGCTCAGTGTGCAGCAGCAGTTAAAAAAGCAAACAATGTTGGGAATCCTTAAGAAAGGGAGAGATAATAAGACAGAAAATATGTTGCCTCTCTATAAATCCATGGTATGCCCACATCTTGAATACTGTGTGCAGATGTGGTTGCCCCATCTCAAAAGAGATCTACTGGAACTGGAAAAGGTTCAGAAAAGGGCAACAAAAATGATTAGGGGTATGGAACGGCTTCCATATGAGGAGCGATTAATAAGACTGGGACTTTTCAGCTTGGAAAAGAGACGACTAAAGTGGGAATGTGGTTGAAGTCTATAAAATCATGACTGGTGTGGAGAAAGTAAATAAGGAAATCTTGTTTCACTCCTCTCAAGAACTAGGGGTCACCAAATGAAATTAATAGGCAGCAGGTTTAAAACAAAACAGGATCTGTGAAGGCAAAGACTATAAAGATTCAAAAAAGAACTAGATAAGTTCATGGAGGATAGGTCCATCAATGCTCATTAGCCAGGATGGGCAGGGATGGTGTCCCTAGCCTTTGTTTACCAGAAGCTGGGTATGGGCAACAGGGAAGGCATCACTTGATTACCTGTTCTGTTCATTCCCTCTGGGGCACCTGGCATTGGCCACTGTCTGCAGACAGGATGCTGGACTAGATGGACCTTTGGTTTGACCCAGTATGGCCGCTCTTATGGTCTTATGCATATAACCTTAGAAAAGATCAAGTGGCAGGTAAATATGTTGTGAATTTCCTATTCCAAGCCTGAAATTGTGGTAGACAATACCAGTGCTATCATCTGTAAGAATGTTAGTTCTGACCACCGTATAGGTTTGTGTATAAATATATGAAGCTATGCTAATTATTAGACTCCAAGGAAATGAGTAGTACATAAATCTTTCCATCCTGAGGGATTCTCTTAGTGTAAATGCTGCTGTTTACTATATGCCCTTCATGCACCATTAGAGAATGGGCACTACTGTGCTTAGCTACAGTATCAATGTATTTTGTATTGAAGACTGACCAGGCAGCGTAGCTAAATATCTCTGCTCGGCACTCCTCTTCCTATCTGAGGCATTCTTTGCCTGGTTCCTTTGACTAGTCTGTGGAATGCTTTATGTCTTGAACTATTGTTTTTTTAGTCACATTGGTTTTGTTGGAGTGTGGGGATAATGTAAGTGCCTTTCCTGTCTTTTTGTGTGGTATCTTACTGGTACACTGTGGAGAGGGCTTGCTGCTCTCCTGTCTGAGGAAAGTTTTATATATATATATTTTTTCCATTAGTTCACAATTTTTTCTGAAAATAAGGTAATTACATCTGTAATTTTCTAGCAGTTTTTCTAAACTTCTTAAACTTTTGCCCTCATACTAAATGAGTAAACTTTAGCCAAACTCTGTGTGCCAGTTCCTTTAGTTTCCAGCTATAATCAAAAGTATAACATAAATATAAAAATAGTAAATTCCTTAAAGATTCTAATGGCATACATATACTAACCCACACCCAAGTAAAAATGTATACAAATGATTCAGCAGACATCTGCTGTTCTCTTAAGGTATACATTTAAACCTAGCCTCTCTTAATCATCTCCAGCACTTTGTCTGAGTAGCTTTTGTGATTTGTATACAAAAGTCACTTCCCAAGAGAGGATGAAGCATTGAAGCATAAGCAGAAGTGTCCATACAATTAACATGAGAAGAGGTTACATTTTTGGAAGTAATCGGAAGGAAAATGAGCATAGTGAAAACAATGAAATTGAAATCGGGTTTGTAGCTATTTCTGAGGAGATTACATCTGCCTTGTTCCAGACCATATTTGATTCCTATTTTGTTTCTAGAACAGCATCTGTGTTTTAGTAATATCATTTAGTACAGATCAGTAAACTTTCTAGCAATGGTGCACAAATACCTGAGGTGACAGAATTTCTATGGAGCATGTGGTACCATCCCTGTTCTCAGAGTGACAGCCGTGTTAGTCTGTATCGGCAAAAACAATGAGGAGTCCTTGTGGCACCTTAGAGACTAACAGATTTATTTGGGTGTAAGCTTTCGTGGCCTAAAAGCCACTTCATCAGATGTATGGACTGAAAAAAAACAGTAAACAGAATATATATATTCCAGCACATGAAAAGATGGGAGTTGCCTTACCAAGTGTGGGTTCAGTGCTAACGAGCCAATTCAAATAAGGTGGAAGTGGTCTAGTCTCAACAGTTGACAAGAAGGTGTGAATACCAAGGGAGGGAAAATTACTTTTGTAGCGCTAACGAGGCCAGTGCAATCAAGGTGGCCCATTTCCAACAATTGACGAGAAGGTATGAGTATCAGCAGAGGGAAAATTACTTTTTGTAGTGTCCCATCCACTCCCAGTCTGTATTCAGGCCTAATTTGATGGTGTCTAGTTTGCAAATTAATTCCAGTTTTGCAGTTTCTCGTTGGAGTCTGTTTTTGCAGTTTTTTTTGTTGAATTACCATTTTTAAGTCTGAGTGTCCAGGGAGGTTGAAGTGGTGTTCTTCTAGTTTTTGAATGTTACAATTTTTGACGTCTGACTTGTGTCCATTTATTCTTTTGCGTAGAGACTGTCTGGTTTGGCCAGTGTACACGGCAGACGGGCATTGCTGGCACATGATGGCATGTATCACATTGATAGGTGTG